CATCTTTTCACGGTGTATAATTTACCTTTTCATCATTACTGTTTCATTAGAAACACCGACGCAGCTCACACTAGTTTTTAGCTAGTTATATCCATGTATTAAATATATAAATAAATAAATAAATTTATTTATTATTCATTTACCAGTGACCTTGCCTCCCCTTTCAAACCTGCATCACCAGACAGTCAAAAGTCAGACACAACTCAGGAATCAGATTCCAGCATAGCATCAACATTAGGTAACAAAAAACTACATGCATAACACAGTAGGGTACCATTCAATAACAACCTCTCTTGCTGTGACGCATTAGGTAGCGGACCTTTCACAAGACATAGATCACAAGAGACCATTTTTAAGAAGCCAGATGCCATTTCTACTGTTTTAACTCCAGAGAAGGTGATTATTATAGAAATTGACTATCAAATAACCTTTGACAGATTTTTTTCAACATTACTGCAATTTTTAATACTGTCCAAACTCTGTAAGTGATAGTTGCCCAGCCCATGTAATTTGGTTTTTCTCTGCCGTCAGTCAAAATATAAAAGGTACCAACTGAATACTTTTGCTTGCTAAAAGCAAAAGCCAAAATTCAGCATAGCACAGCTCAGAGCTGTACTGAATTTGTTTAATAGTGAAAACTACTTTTGAACGCATTACTTTCGTAAATGGAGAAGGTATGTTGTCAGTAGAAAAGAAAAAGAAAGATAGAAATATGGGAAAGAAACAGTGGAAGGGAATGGAAGTGGAGTGAAGTTGATTCATTTTATTTACTTTTGTAATGACAGTCTAGAATGTTCATGTTTCATGGCTTGTTGTATCATGAGACAAGTTGCATGTATAACAAATGCTATTTAAAGATGGTTCAAGATTTAGTATGATGTTCTCTTTACAGGAGGATCTCATTGCCAAAAGAACAAGATCTCATCTTCCATTAAAAGAAAATCTCAAGTTTGATGCAGGTATTTACTAGCCTAATAATTAATTCATTAGCAGTTTTTGTAAGACTTAAAAGCTCAGTGCCATCTGCATGTCTTGCCACTGTTTTCTAGAATTTTGATTGGCTCGTTTTTTCTAATTCAATGTGATTGGTCTGGCAGTGCAATAATGTTGGTAGCGACTTGGCAAGACTTATAAAACTTGTATTTCTTTTCCATCCAGCTGATTTCATGCTGCCAGATTACATGCCAGACCTCTACGACACAGTCAAGCTTGATGATCTTGATAAAGAAGACATTGACTTCCAGCTATTTCTCCAGCGATTGATAAATGGAGAAGGTAGAGTATGTTGTCAATAAATGAGAAAAAGAAAGATAGTAGTCTGTGGGGAAAACAGTAAAAAGAATTGGGTTAGAGTGGAGCAGAGTAGAGGAAAAAAGACATTGACTTCCAGTTATTTCTCCAGCGACTAATAAATGAAGAAGGTATGTTGTCAGTAGATAAGAAAGAGAAAGACAGAAATAAAGGAAAGAAAGAGTGAAAGGAAAGGGGAGTGGAGTGGAGTAAAAACATAGAAATATGTTAAAGAAAGAGTGAAAGGGAACGGGAGTGGAGTGGAGTTAAGTTGATTCATTTAATGTATTTTATCACAGATGAAGATAATGCTACTGAAGACGAGGATAAAGAATATGATTACATGGCTGAGAATCATAAGGAAGAAAAAGAAGAATACAGAAACGACAGAGCTGTTAGGATACCGAGTAAGGAGATTATATCACGTTTTCCATGCTCATCAATGAATCATTGTATAACTTTAATATTAATTACAGTAATTTTTTATACCTACAGAGCAAGAAGTATCTGATCTTTTTGAAGAACTCTTAAATGAGGTAATTTTCTCAAAATTAATGAGAGAGTAAACTATTGCTACACCACCCTCAATTCCTACTCTTGCTTTGATATTCCAAATTCTAATTGAAATGACTTTTTTTCTTGTTAGTGTGATGAAAACGGAAGCTTAGCAGATCAAAGTCCACTGTGGAGTACACGGTGAGTTTATACATACAATAGGCCCTTTGCAGTAAACGGTCACGTGTGTGTACTGGTGAGCAAAATTTTTTATTCTATTTTAAATTGGCGATTCTTTTTAGCTACTTGTAAAGAACTGAATGAAGCAATGTGTATCCAGTGTGTTACGAAATGCAGTTGTATTACGATCTCTCGAAACAGGTTGTAGTAAGTTTGTTTGCTCACCAGTATATTTCACCCATGGGAATCAAAATGTTCATTAATTTGCTCACAGTGAATTAATCAGCACGTGATTACTGAGCTGCAAAGGGCCTATTGACTTAACTTTATGAGTTTATTGGGCACACATACCAGTATTTATAAGTTTAGCTTAAAATTAAAGGAGAAATCGAACAGATGGAGATTCCAAACATGAATTAATTAAGTGTGCAGTGGTGATTAAAATAATTTAAGCTTTAGAAATTTAAATTTTTGAGTAGCCCACAATTACAGCTATTGAAGCACTAATTTTCATTCCTTTCCTTGACAGTGGTTTGTTACCGATTATGGATGGTGAAGAAACTAGTGATCAGGATGTTGTGCTGTTTAGTGAGCAGCAAAGAGCCCAGTTATCAACACAAATGAACCAGGTACATGTAGTGTGTAATACACAATCTCTACCTACTTACATCATGACAACATCATGAAAAATCATTTATCCCCCCCCCCCCCCCCAACCAAAAAAAGATGTTTATTGTAAAGTCATAGAGGCTTTGCAATAATATAATCTGGTCTAATCTGATTTACATCAGAAAAAATTCAGTTTTCCCCTGTGTCATGGCTGCCATCACATGATAACCCTCTATTTAGTCACCTCACTACGCATGCTCTAATTGGTTGAGAACTGTGCTTTATTACTGAACAGAGCATGGTTGAAGCTGTTTTATTTTTTATTATGAGTAAGTAATCTTCATTTTTTTTCCTTTTTATTTCAGCACGTTCAGCTCCTAAGTCAGGTTTTTCTTTTATCACGTGAGGACCCAACCCTCCAAGATGAAGCTGAAATATGTCGTCAGTATGTGAATGAACTACAAGGATTCAGTGAAAGGGCTTCCTCGGCACACTATATGATGGCCTTGGAGAGTGGCTACCCTTGTACATCCATGTTTGAGGTGCCAGGGCTTTCAGAGGCAATCAGGTGAGTGGTTTTGCGATGCATTTATAATTTAAAAAACTGGGGTTATTTCACACGGAAAAGTCGTAAAATACCCTTGGCTGAGTCAACCCATAAAGGAACTCATTAAAACCCAAAATGCATGAGTAAAATTATATGGCTTTCTTGCACAACTTTTCGTATGATTTTTTTATTTGTCGAATTTTTATTTTTGAATGTCGGGGAAAATACAGGAATGCATCTACATTTTTTAAGTGTTACGTAAGCAATCAGAAGGCACCTGTCTACCCTCAGTTTACACCTCTCTTCTCTGCTCTGCTCTGCTCTGCTCTGCTCTGCTCTGCTCTGCTCTGCTCTGCTCTGCTTACTTACAATATGAGGTCTAGGGACTGAACCCATGAACCCAGGGCAATACATAAGTACTCGGAAGGCACGTGTCTACCCTCAGTCTACACCTCTCTGCTCTGCTCTGCTCTGCTCTGCTCTGCTCTGCTCTGCTCTGCTTACTTACGATATGGGGTCTAGGGACTGAACCCATGAACGTACCCAGGACAATAGCGGAGCATTAGCATTAGAGTCGAATTGTTTGTTTTATTCCAGAATCGCGAACGAACCCTTTAATGCAGTAAAACGTCCGCGCAGTCCACGAAAACAAGCTATGGCTACCAACACAACTGGGAAGAACAAGCTTCGAGGGCCAATCTTATTGCCAGTAATATCATCCACTAACCAGACAATCATGGCTTCATCCATTCTATTCCATCGAGAAGAACTTCTACCACGTCATGGCTTCACTTCTAAAGACCCCAACATAACCAAGGACGCTGCAAGCCTGAGAGTCAAGTTCACTGAAACAGAAGATAATTTACTGGCCTTAGGTATAAAGCAATTCCAAAGGAACTGGAAGATGATACAGACTCATTTACTTCCTGTCAAGACGCCCAAACAGCTTCAAATTCGTTGTAAGAATCTTCTGTCCAACAGAGCGCAGATGAATGTTGTCAAGAATCTCCGACAAACGAACTCTGTGTGGAAGTTGCCAACTAAAATTAGACCGATCTCATCTCCAGGTAGGGTTTGTTGCTACACAGATTTTACTCCCTAAAAGGAAATATGACGTGGCATCCAGAAAACCGCGCGGGCGAGAAAATGTTGCGATTGGCGCGACATCATCTTCAAGGGTGGTGTCCTTAACGTGTCCTGGTAAGAATTTTAGCCTTGAAGACGAAGGCGCGTGCTATGCCATATAGCAGATTTCATATCATTTCAAAATGCTGACAGACTGTACGAATGTGACCGTGACGGTACAGTGTCCGATCATTCTGATTTAATAAACAGTAACCTTGCGCGCTGTGATTTGTCCAACACAAGTCGTTAGTTGCGTGACAACCTCGACGTGACGGTAGTTTGTCTAATGCCGTGACCAGTCATTCTGATTGGTTTGATTGGTTCGTGACCGTGGTTGTCGTTACTGTAAGAAACATTTCCTCTATCCTCTAATCCTGCATTCCAAAGTGCTGCAAGGGGACTATATTCTCTAGAGCTTCCTTTTTACTCTCTTCCACAGATGTCGGCAAAAGATATGCCTCCTCAGACACTCCAGATTGGTTGGTCTTGTATCGACAAAAACTAAAGAATTCTCGCAAACATTTGACTCCAAAACAAGTTCAGCCTGTACACCAACGTCAAACAGACACCTTGATTCCATCCGTTCCCAACAGCAATAACATTGCAGAATCAAAAGATGTTCCACGTGTGTCTAACAGTGGAATAGACGTGGCAAAAGCGACTAGTACTGGGGGTGTATCAGCGCTGATGTCAGTATTTCCTAATCAAAATGTGGATGAAGGCGCTCACTCTAAACAAATCCCAAATGATAACGATACAATGAAAACAAACTCAAACCAACGAGAACAACCAGTGAAAAACTTTGCTGTCAAAGCCAAGACTTCAAACGAGTCTTACAAAAATGCAAACGGTAAAGAAAGTGAGGGAGTCACGCAAGAAAATAACTCTTCTTCATGTAGTGCTTTAAATTTAGATACTATCACGATATCACAGGAGACTACGAAGGATAAAACGGACGAAAAACGTATCGGAAATGAAACTTCAACTTCGAAAAATGAAATAAAGATGGTCGAAGAACAACGTGAAATAAGGTAAGCTGGGTGAACATGGATGATAATATAGCACTAACTTTTCAAAATGGAGGCGTAACCAGGATTTTTCATATCAAGATATGATATTTCATATGCGTAGAAATTCATAAGTTTCAGAGACTGGTAACGACTTGGTGGTGCAAAGGATTGTGGGAATGATTTTTGTGACGAGACAAATTCCTCCCACAATCCGTTGCAACATGACTAGTTTTATTACCTTGGAATTTAAAATGTAGAAATATAAGATTTCGTAGGAAGAGCTAACGTAACACTTACTTTATGTTTTATACTTATAAGAAAACAATGAATATCACTTGATACATAATAGAATACAATTAGATTTTATGAATACAGTCGACTTGCGGACATCCCAATATTACGGACACCTTGCTATTACGGACAGGAGAAAAATCCCCGACAAAATACCGACAAAGAAATGACCTTGAATAATTCCCACTATTGCGGACGCTCGTTATTAAGGACACCAAGTGACGGTTCCGAGGGTGTCCGCTGTAACGAGAGTTGACTTCATGGTACACAAACTGAATGCTAAGAAGGTTCTACCAGCTGTTGTAAAATGTAACTATCTACAATTTTCTTTCAAGAAATCCAGACATTCCTCAAGCAGACAAACAAACAAAAATCAAGCCCCAAAGTTCTGAAGAACTCAGCTCTCAAACAAGCCCAGGAAAATCTACCACAGGGAACCCACAGCCTCCAGATGACGAGCAGATGGAAGATATTTGTGATGACGGATCTGTGAACTTTGAGCCTGTGGGGAGCGTAGAAAATGAAGAGAACATGCAGTGCACTTCTAGTTCAACGGATAATCAGGACAAAACATTAGTTATTGGTGATATTGGTTCTCACCAAGGATCGTCTGTAAGTTGAGAAGTTTTAGTTTGAGCATAAGTCGTATTTTGTTATACTTGTCAAAGAACTGTCCCCGGTTGTACGAAGAATGGATAGTGCTATCCGACTGATAAATCTTATCCAGTGGTTAAATTTATTGGATAACAGCATTGACTTGTCCATTGTACGAGTATTTATCCACTGGATAGGTTTCAATCCTTCGTACGACCGGGCCCTGAAGGATAGTTGTTCATGGGGTGCCTGTATTCCCCTCCCCACCMTCCMCCCTCCCCCCCCCCACCCCCTTACTTCTCTTTCGTACTCAATATTTTCACTAATCATTTCTATTTTCTTGCATCAAAGGAGATAACCAGTGATAAAGCAGCCAAATCACCTCCCGTTACCACGGCAACGAAGACTAAAGGAGCACGCGATAAATCGACAATCACAACTACGTCAAACTCTGTACCAAGTGCTACTAAAAAAATATGCGCTGATCCCATACCCTTAGATCCTGACCCGAAGGTAAAATGAAAATAATGGGTTCCCTGTGGTTTTCATAAGAAGCATACATTTACGGGCTCCTCGTGGATCCGATGATATAAATGGGTGGCTATCTCTACTTACTGTGATTCAATTGTATGGCGATTATTCAGCGTGCGCAATGGGAAACAGAGGACTTTGGACGAAGAATGAGTTCCCTGTGGTTTTGATAAGAAACATCATGGGCTCCCTGTGGAAATCCTGATATAATTCATTGACTGTCTCTACTCATTTTTATTTAATAGACCCCTTGCAGCACGTAGGAATGAAGCTCAATTTAGAGGACATAACGATAGGTTTCCAATTCTCAGATTGAAATTCTTTTGTTTTGTCCTCCAAATGGAGCTGCTTTGACGTCGCATGCAAGGGGTCTCTTATCTGGTAATCATTGAGCGGGCGCAATAAGAAACAGAAATATAACCGAAATTGGATTGCTACAATATGTTATCTTTATCTTAGGAGCAGGTGAGATCCCAGGCCCTAGCGGATAGCTACATGGCCAAAGTAAAGGTAAGTCTATGATGCACGTCGCTACGGCGCGGTAAATCAGTGCAACTTATCATGCGCTTGTCGTCGTTGTGTTGGAGGTTGAAGAGAAATTTTGCTTGTAGTACATCTCTGCACAGCATTTGCATTGTTGCGAAGAGTAAAGATGACTTTTACTATGCGGATCAAAGGAAATGAGTCGTGCGTGGAGTAGGCTGCAACTTTCAAAGCAAAAAGATAGTAAGAGTATGTCGCGCAAGTGCGTCTAGTAGGGAATTGTAAGTCCAAGTTGTCATAAAACTCTAGTGGCATCGTCCGCTAATCAAGTTTTCATAGCAACAATTAATATCAAATGTTTTATTCTTACGAAGAAAACTCTCAAAAATGATCCAGAACAGTATGAAGAGTTTCTGGGTACATTGGTGACGTCATCAACGAATCAGTGGACCTCAGTACAGGTAGGGAAAGAACAACACATCGAACAAACCCTGGTCGTGTGCATGGTATCTGAAGGAAAGGTTGAACTAAATGTGCTGATGTTTTAAATAATTATGTTTGTGTCTATAGTTGTACCATCGCATAGAAGTGGTTCTGTCAGAATACCCAGAGTTGGTTGAAGATTTTATTGCGTTTCTTGAACCAGAAGAAGCGTTAGAAGCAGGAGTGGTTAGTATAACAGCCAATAATCGTGCGAGTATGCTAGTGCATCCAGGGGGGGTTTATCTACCGCTAAACTTTGGACATCCAAAACTGGGTCTCGTGTTCCCTTGGATTGCGCAATTGCACCTTTAGTGCAACGGGGTACCAGTGAAGGTTTTTTCTTCCGCTCTAAAAATTTTTTTAAATATTTTAACTTATTTTTTCTTTTGACCTTTTTTAAAGCTTATGGAAAATTTGGAATTCGTTCGAGCTCGCACGTTTTTACGAAGACTAGAGGTAAGTTGTAGTTTCTCTTTTTTTAAACTGTTGAACGACTAGCTGACTAACTGAATTGACCGTGTGACTGACTGACTAACTGACTGACTGACCAACTGACTGACTGCATGACTGACTAGACTTACTGACTGACTGACTGACTGACTGACCAACCGACCGACCAACTGACTGACTGACCAACTGACTGACTGACTGACTTCCTTCATGAAAGGCCAAAACCAATCAAGGAAATAGGTGCGCTCGAATGCAATGAACTTGAAAGCGAACGTCTCACCTTGTTCTTTCTTTCCCTAGGTCCATTTTCACAAAACTCCGTCACATTTCAAAAAAATCATCAAGGCATTCAGCTCGTGGAATGCTGGAGACAAAACACCTACTGAGGTAACCCGCAACATTAGCTGTGCACCAACACACGCGATATCGGAAATTATAACTTGTTTCTTTTTTCCCCTTCAGCTGCACGAGAAAATCATTCCTCTATTACGGGGACAGCAACACTTGATAGATGAATTCCAGTCTTTTTTCGACAATTTAAAACCCCCAGTCTGGTAAGAATTCTTCTCATTTCTTTTCCTATTTATTCCTTTTTGTCTTTTCAACATGGCGGCCAAAACCCACGTGATCTGTCGTAAGTAAAAAAAAATTATGATTTTTTTCTTCTGAAATGACGGACGGATTTTGCTTTCCTCTTATTAGCTCTGAAGAAGACTTCGAGGAAGTTGAAATTGGAAGTGGTAGCGACCCCGAGGTAACGTGAATCCTGCACTTCGAAACATTACGATTTTAAAATAAATAGTGCGTGATATATCGAAGGGATATGGGGAATCTTTACATTACATCAAGGGTGATGTAATGGAAGCGCACCTCTTTCTCACCTCTGGGGTCTCGGATTCGATTCCTGGCATCACGTGGATGTTTGTTGGTCTCTTCCTTGATTCAAGGGTTTCCGCTTTTCTTCCCTCTGCAAAAAAACTTAAAACGCTGAAGACTTAGATCAGCCCAGAGGTTGTTTCAGGGTTCGATCTGTGAGTTAGCCGTGCCCTGACTTAGATCAGCCCAGAAGTTGTTTCAGGGTTCGATAAAATTAGAAAACATGACTTAAAATCTGTTATAATATTTTCCTATTTTCTTTCAAGGTTGATGACTTTGAAGAAGTAGTCATACCCAAAGGCAAAACACAGGCCAAATTACGACAAACAAGCGCCACAACACGGACATCATACCCTGGTAACAGACAGAAAATAACACCAAAACCCACCACTATAGCGACAAGTAAAACAAAACAAGATCAAACAAAGCCAGCTCGTCGGAGAAACAAACCAGTCGATAGATCATCCAAAACAAGTCCATTGTCCAGAGATGATGTTTCTGTGCTCAGTGAAGGAGAGGAAGAAACGAGTGTCAAAAGAGTTCAAGGTGTGTAAAAGAAGATGCTTTAGTTTTGTTTTTGCTTTTGATTGAGAAGTATGCATCAGTACGACCAAAAAGGCAAGAAAAGATTAATTTTGAATCTGTATTATTCATTGAAGGTGGAGGTCCTGTCGACAAGAATTTCAAGAATCTATCACCGCAACAGAAATCCATTGAAAGGCCGATGGAGTGTGACGAATCATCTTACGAACAAAACCCGAGTTCCGTCCGAACCGATGGAAGCGCTTCAGATGGTCCCTTGTCCGTAGCATCATCATTAATCAATGAGACTAGCAATGACAGCTTAAAATATGAGGAGCGAGACGAGTATTCCCGCTCCAACAAACTATTGATACACCAAAGAACGACCTCGACTGATGACGTCATTGATGACATCAGTAATGACGTCAATGAGTCTGAAAACGACTACAGTGTGAGGCAAGAAATACCCAAGACGAGTAAAAACTTTTCGAGTGACGCATTCGATGACGTCAGCACTGACGTCATGGAAAATGAAAACGATGATAACGAAGATAGCGATAATTATGACGAAATGACATACGAAGGAGCGGAGGATGAAAAAGGGAATGGAACGGATTTGATGGAAGACAGAGTTATCTCAGCCAGAAATCACTTGCTTGGACAAGATGGTCGGCTTATCGTTCTTTGGACACGGTGAGTTCACGTAAGCCTAAGCAGCGACATTGGTAGCCGTAGTAACCACAGATAACTATAGCTACGTGTGTGACTTTCGGAAAGCAACCACCTCGGTAGCCTAGGTACCCACAGGTAACTATAGCTAGATGTTTGACTTATTAAAAGCAACCATAGCTTAGGTAACCACAGGTAACTATGGCTACGTGTTTGAATTCCTCCGAGCAGCCACCTCGGTAGCCTAGGTAACCACAGGTAACTATAGCTAGATTTTTGACTTCCTGAAAGCAGCCACCTAGGTAGCCTAGGCAACCACAGGTAACTATAGCTAGATTTTTGACTTCCTGAAAGCAGCCACCTAGGTAGCCTAGGCAACCACAGGTAACTATAGCTAGATNGCCTAGGCAACCACAGGTAACTATAGCTAGATTTTTGACTTCCTGAAAGCAGCCACCTAGGTAGCCTAGGCAACCACAGGTAACTATAGCTAGATGTTTGACTCCCCGAAAGCAACCACCTTGGTAACCAAGGCAACCACAGGTAACTATAGCTAGATGTTTGACTTCCTGAAAGCAGCCACCTAGGTAGCCTAGGCAACCATAAGTAACCATAGGCCTATAGTTACCTATGAATGTGAGACTCACCAGCAATCTCCTTTTGGTTTCTTTTCAGGGAGGATGATCGCACTATTTTATCAGTTTGTCACGATCAAGGAGCCACATTACAGACTTTCGAGGAGTTGTCCAGAAGGCTAACGGGAAAGTCTGCTCTGGAGGTTTGTAGTGTTATTTACACGACACGCTCACGGTACATGATGGAAAATCAGCAGAACCAATCATAGGGTCGTTGCATGTTGGAACAAAATGATAGCACACGGCACTGACACTGTACAGACGTGCATCTATAGTTACACGTCGTTATAATCATCATCAAGAGTGTAGCTTGATGATGTTGTTGATGATGATAGTGATGAAGATGATGATGATGATGATAGTGATGATGATGATTGTGATTATGATAAACATCACCATCATCATCGCTATCATCATCATCGTCATCATCATCGCTATCATCATCAACATCATCACCATCGTGATCAACATCATCATCATCATCTTCACTATCACCATCATCATTTAACATTATCATCATTAACATCATTGCTTTTACCGTCATGCATTTTTGCTTTATTAATAATTTAGTAATCTCTTAATTTCAGATCAAGACTCGGTTCGAAGAATTAATGAAACTTTTCCAAGCTGACTCTAAAGAACCCAGTTCTAGTGAAGAAGAGGATGAGGAAGAGGACAGCGAAGGAAGTGAGCCCGAAACAGACTCATGAATAAAATAATCAAGATTAAATAGTACTTCATGTAATAATGCTTTTATGGATGGGTCCTATGGTTTATTATAATTATCTGTTGTGAGTAGTATCACATGAAGTACGAGCCCTGGTTTAAAATATCTATACCCCTTAAAAATTCTAAATACCCCTTGCATGTGACGTCAAAGCAGCTCGACATGGCGGACAAAACGAATTCCAATCTCTTGAGAATTGGAACCTATTGTTTTGTCGTCCCCAAGATGAGGCTGCATTCCAGCATGTTGGGATGCAGCTCAATTTGGAGGACATAACAATAGGCTTCCCATTCTCATGACATAGAAATTCTTTTATTTTGCCCTCCAAATTGAGCTGCTTTAACGTCACATGCAAGGGGCCTATTTGGAAGATATAACAATAGGTTTCCTATTCTCATGAGATAGAAATTCTTTTATTTTGTCCTCCAAATTGAGCTGCTTTAACGTCACATGCAAGGGGTCTATAGCCCCGTTTACACTAGCGATTTTTGCTGCGATTTTTTTTTTTTTTTTTTTTTTTTTTGTTTTTTTTTTGGTAAAGAATTTACTTGTAAATTTTTTTTTCAGGATACCAAGATTTTCCTAGACGAATGTCTCTTTTGAAGGATGAGACTAAATATTTTATATTTCCAAAAATTGCCACAAAAATCGCAGCAAAAATTGCCGCAAAAATCGCCAGTGTTAACGGGGCTTTAGGGTAAGTTTATATTTTGCGGATGAACTTCTGAATCNTTTGCGATATTGTCTATAATGAATAATGGTAAAGAATTTACTTGTAAAGTTTTTTTTCAGGATACCAAGATTTTCCTAGACGAATGTCTCTTTTGAAGGATGAGACAAAAGATTTCATATTTCAAAAAAATTTCCACAAAAATCGCAGCAAAAATCGCCAGTGTAAACGGGGCTTATAGATGCTTAGTCTACGAGGTTGACACCAAGACTTCGGTATGGGGGTGGGGGTGGGGAGGGTGGTGTTCTTATCTTGGCAGGCTGTTCAATTTAAAGTTTTCTGGAAATTAGTACGTTGCATAGAAAAACAATTTCTTAGACTACCAAATGTACCCTAACACTGACCTGAAACATTTTGTTCGAGTGAAATACCTGTGGTATCTTGGCTCTTAAATGGCTATTAAACGCATACACTGATATCCAAATGTATGCAAACTAAACAATCATAACGCGTACATTTAATTTAAAAGCCATCAAAATCTCTTTGGTAAAAAATATTTTAAATGTTGAATTTGAATATAATCTAGTAATATTTAGAAATAGTTCAAGACACTGGGGGAATGTATTTAAAAAATACTAAAACATTGATTGTAAATAATTCAAAAAAAAAAACTATAAAGAAACGATTTTAGTTACTGAAGTACTCGTTTAGTTTAGAAAAAGATAAAGAGAGGTAACGACCGGCTCAAAATAAAAAGTATGTTCCAATATTCTGGACAAATGTTTATTCAACTGAATAAATTCGATAACAAAACAATGCACAACGTTGGTCAATAATGTTTGATTAAAAATAATTTGAAAACAGAAAAAAAAATTAATGATTCTTAAAAAATCAAGGTCCATTTCGTGTTGTTATGGTGACGGAGGTCTTTGAAAAATGAAAATGAAATTTAACATGAAAATATAGAAAAGAAAGCGTTTTTAGCCATATAAAGTGTGGGTAATTAATGATATTTCCAATATCATAAATATTTGAAATATAACGCGCGTGGATTGGCTGGCCACCGTGTTTATATCAGAGGACAGAGACACGTTCCTTTTGTCAGGTATCCTTTATCAAATAAAAGAGTCCTGAAGAGTCCTGAGTCCTTAGCTTAAAGATTCGGACAAACATTGCATTATGTTTAACCGCTACGAGGATTATACGAACCGATTTTATCATTTTTACTTAAAGTTACAATAATAACCCATGTAAACTAAGATCAACTGCGATGGGCTGTGAAAATTATTTGCTGAAAGTAAACTTGTAAGTTTGTTTGTCCGAATTTCGCCTTTGTCTTCGTTTTTATGACGTCACGGCTGCGTGCGCTATTGTTATCGCTAATCGGCACCGCAAGTACCGTCATGAAGTTCACATCCAGTGAAAGGACATTGGAAGCTCCTAATCAACTCGTAAACCATATTCGTCTATTAACTCACTGTTCTTTGTATCTGTTTTATCTTTTGCTTCTTTTGCATCTCGATAGGAGCGGAGCGAAAGAAAATGTTTTATAAAGCTTCAAAATTTTCTTTTTCATAATCGAAAAGTTTTCTTTTGGTGAACGCAAAACTTAGAAAATAAAAAGGACGATGATTGACATTATTCACAGAGGGGATTTTATTTTTCTCAGTGATGTTACATGTAATTTCATTTTTCCAAATTTAATCAATTCTCTCACTGGATAAACAACACGTTTTGCTCGGAAAATAGCGAAACTCGAACTCGTGGAACATAAAATCAAACGCCCTTTGGCGAACTCGTGGATACTTGTTGCACTTTTCGAAGATTGGTCTTCCTGTGCCCTCTTTATGCTTGTTGACATTCTCAAACGGATTTCAAATATTTCGCTCGATTTAATATTTTGATTGTCAATTTATCTAGTAAGATGAGTAATCGTCCTTATTATTTTCCTTTTAGCATCTAGTTCTTCGCTAGTTTGTTGAGTTTGGAATTGAAAATTGTCTGAACTTCAATTAATACGAAAGACGACTTCGACTACGACTTCGCGATAGAGTCAACTGAGTCAAGTATAGAGTACAATTGGAAGAAGATCTATTTGAAAACGCTTTCTCTGTTTTCAATTTCAAAGGCGGGCTGTGTGTTTTATCCTAGGAATCATTCGACCTACGAGCTCAAAACTGACAATCGGGACGATCAACATAAAGCGTTGCGTTATGCGTGTTGATTTACATTAATAGAGAGTTTTAGATTGACTTTTTTTCTCCCCGCAAACGGCAAAGGTGACAACGTTTTCATCGTTTTCCTGTATTTTACTTCACCTTTTACAAACCTTCTCACCAAGCACAAATACTCTTTTGTTTTTCTACTACTTGGACTTTTTTGCGATTCTTTTTCAGTAATTTAAAATAATTTTTTACTGGTCAACTGACGTTTCACGTTTGCCGTGAACGTAAATCTAATGTTTATCTTGACCTTCAAGGGTCACGGCTCCTACTTCAAAAGAAACTATTTATTTACACTAATGATGAAAAGGTAAATTAGTAATAATAAAAGAGAAAGAAGTGGTAGAAAGGAGTGTATATATGATAGAATTAGACAAAAGAAACCAATGAGAGCAAGGTAGGCAAGGAAACAAAAACAAACAATCAAAAGACAAAAGAAAAGGTTAGTTGAAA